AGAAAGGGGAGAAGGGAAAAAATAACTGGCTGTTGAAGAGTATTGCCTTTGGATTATATAATGACTTTATACTTAACTATTAGAGCAGATGTTTTTTAAGTACAGCTACTATGAGACCAAATCCAGGATTTCAGCCAAGAAAACAGGGACAGGCTTAAACTTCAGATGCCTAAACAACCATGGATAACTTCAAAGAATTCCTGGGAAGGAGCAAACTCTACAAGGTTGGCTTTGTTGCAGTTTACCCTCAGGGAGGGTGACCAGGTTGAGATGAGAGGGGACAAATGCTTGAAATTCGGCCTGCAGGGAGGAAGCCTGAAGAAGTTGGTGAAGTTGCTGGGGCTGTGCTGCATCTCAAGAAGTAAGGTACATGGCTTTTTAATCAACACAGTCAAAATATTCTGGTGTGTTTACAGTGATGCCACTGACATGAAGGGGGTGGCTCAATCCATCAATCGCACTAATGCACGACATATTTTTGCTCTGGTGACTCACACATGTGACACTAGTGACATCTGTGGACTAGATGGTTTCTTGTACAGAGGGCTGTCACATACACTGGCACATTGCCAACATCCTGTCCTTAATAAACTAGATACCAGGAGCATACTGCCAACAGTGGTGATGGCCAAACTGTCCAGAAATGATGACTGATTTTCTCTGGCAGGTGACGGCTCCATTCTACCGATCTCAGTGGAATCTTTACCAGTGCCTCTTGGTAAGGTCAATACAGAAATGAGGGTACTCTAAAGAAACCCTTTGGTTGTCAAATTATTAAAATAATGCCCGCCCCCCAATACTGGAATTTCCTCCCAGAACTACCCACTGCAACCCAGAGCTGGCAAGAGAGGGAGTCTATTACTCACAAAGGCTCTGTATGTATGTGTGTGTGCACACAGATAAACAGCCACACTTGTAGAGGCCAGACAACCAAAGGTGTCATTGCTCAGGAACTCACAACCTTGTTTTTCATACTAGGTCTCTCATTGACTTGGAACTTACCTCTTAGGGTAAACTGGCTGGACAAGATCCCAGGGATTTACCTGACCCTGTCTGCCCAACACTGGGATTACAAATGCATGCCAAAATACCTGGCTTTTTCGTGGCTAGCAGGAACCAAACTCAGGTTCAAGCACAATACTAACTGAGCCATCGCTACAACACCTCCCTGAAAGACATTTCCACAGCTGTCTAGCAAGAGAGTGAAGTCAGGCAGGGGTGATGGTTGGCCGCAACTGAACCAGGGCAGGTTTGGTTGGTTTCCTCTGCTTGAGCACAGACCTCATGTCAGTACCCTGAGAACAGACTTGGCCAGTCAATGGGCCTCTTTGATCTTCTTCCCCAACAACTACATTGAATACAATTTGTTGAACTGACCCTTTGAGGACAAATGGCCTATCTTTTTGGGCTACCCGGACCCAGGCTCTGACCTTAATAATTTCAATAACATTGAGTCACCTTATAGGTGGCACATACAGAAAATGATACCCCAGATGCCGATCAAATTTTCCACAATACATAGAACCTTTTCTTGAAATAAAGTGTAGTTATGTGTTAGGACTCAAAGAAAGCCTGCAGGAATGGCTGAGTTGGCTATTCACATATCAAAGGGGACACTGGCCAGCCCTCCCAGCAGCACTCAGCCTCTCACAGCCTCACTCAGTACCCGTGACTCCTCCCAATACTTCTCGCTACTCCTCCACCCTAAAGCTCTCCCTCCCAGGGACTGGGGTTCTGCTTCCCAACCCTATATAACTCAGCCATTTTGGCTAAGTGTCTTCTTAATCCACACGCCTTCCTGGTCTCTTTTCCTCCTGGTCTCCTGGCTCCCATCTCCAGTCCTCTTTTCTATCCCTTTCATTTCCTCTCACTCCTTGCCCTCTCTTCTCATTTCCATGTACAGACTGGACCCTTCCAGAAGCCTCTGGCTGTTTTTCCCCTCACGTCTATAATAAACCTCCTCGGCATCCCATACCTAGGTGCGGTCATGTCCTCATTTTTTCACTCAATATGGAAAGAAGTAAGCTGAGTCTGTGATGTTCTAACACTACAGAAGCACCAGGAAGTGCTAGTGTCAATAATGAGCTTTAGTAATGCAAACTATCACAAAATTTTATAGACACATTCAAGGAAGAAGTGAGCAACTTTCCCATGCATATTTTACAGTTAAATTGGATCCAATTGCCTTTAATCCTTGCAATTTAAGTACCTCCAAATATACCACTAAGAGCATCAACATACTATCACATTTTATAAAAGTGAGCTATGAACCAGCTGGGCATGAGGAAACCGGTTAATACAGGCAGGCTTACTATATAACTTCATTCCAAAGCAAAGGACCCACGAAGTCGACCACAGTAGATCTAGACATTAGATATACTACTGCAGTCTACGGCCATACCACCCTGAACGCGCCCGATCTAGTCTGATCTTGGAAGCTAAGCAGGGTCGGACCTGGTTAGTACTTGGATGGGAGGTATACTACTGCTTATTAGCTTCAGACATTGGTGGCACTCTTTAAGCAACAGGAAAATCAAACAGGTTTCAAAACTCATAATGCCTCAAAAGAAAAGGTACATCTGTGCTGCACACTGATCTGGAAGCAAGTGTGAGCAGGATGGACTGCACTGGCTCTAGAGGCTGTGACTGCAGATGAGGCCCCAGCTCTACAGACAGGCTTTCCAAGCCAGATTAAGTTCTTTTGTTCAGAACCACATGAGCCAAATGAATGGCAACCCAAATCAGGGACAAAGAGGTTTCACAGTGAAGCTGGCAGGACACAAACTCCCAGAACCCACGGGAAGTAGAGGCAGGAGTTGGGGTGGGGAGTGGAGGGGAGACTAGAAGGGAAACCTCCCACTCAGAAACACCAGGTAAGTTTGACTCTAGAAAGCAAATGTGCCATGTATCAAAAAAGCCAATACTTCTAAGAAATGACTTTCATAGAAGAGGAGGCCCATTAAGTTGCAACCCTACTCAGAATCATATAATTAATGCAATCGGAGAGGATGTCCCACAGAAAAGGGTTCACAGGGAAGTGTAGGTGACATTATGATTATGACACATGTGTGTGTGTGAATGTGTGTGTATGCACCCATGTATGTAGATTCTTTCAATCACAGTTCTTTGCTTCTAATCTAGAGAAAAGAAATGAGAATCCTATAAAGCCAGTCTAAACACACCACTCTTCTCTGACACTGTGTCTTTACATTGTGTGTGTAAAGAAACTACTGTGCTTTTTTGTCTAATAGGATAACTAACTAACCTTAGCACCAGGAAGGTCTGCTCTCTGTGCAGGAAGAAGAATTTGAAAAAACAGTTCTTCCTAGGTTGACTTGCTTAAGCTATTGGCACTAGCTCAGACAATTTTTTTTTTTTTTTGTACATGCTTCCATAGTGTTGTTCATACTTAATAAGATCTGAAAAAGATTCTTCATAGGTATGGACGTAGGGGAATCTCTGGAAAACCGGAAAGGAAGGGGCTCACAGGGCAGTTGAGTAACAATTCATTCTTGGTGACATCAGAAGCTCCCGTGCCCAGGACATTGCAGAACTACTCTTATGTATCTTTTTCCCTAACAGATTATCTAGAACCTTTAAAGTATCATTTGCAACAAACTGGGGAGATGTAACTGTCGTGACAAATTCTATGAGCTGTTCTAGAAAATTAATAATATATAGATCTCCCAGGCAGGAACTTGTGGCTGAAGTAGGGGTTGTCTGGTAGGAGCGAGACTTTTGGTGGGCTCTGCAGAATCCCCACACAGAGGGAATGTTGGAAAGAACAGATTTCAAGAGCAGCCAGTTGACTGATGGCTTACCATGGGGGTGAAAGCCTCACACATTCTGGGATCTGAAGTGGCCTGTGCTGTGAAAATGCACTAGGAAAAGCTGAGGTTGGATGAATTATCCCATTCATCCTCAAAAGCTCCTCCACAAAGATGGCAATGCCTCTCTCAACTTAACACACACTCTCACAGAAGTCTCAAGTATTCCTAGAGGAATCATGAACAGGCTTCAGGAGTTATATAATGTATCGAACATTTTATACATCATAACAATCTGAAATGCATGTATTTTCATTATCAAGAGGGTCTCAAATATTTACTGGGCTATCAAAACAGGACACAAGTTGAGAAACATTAAGAACTGAAAATTATACTCTGCCATCAGGTCCCTATGATTAAAACATTCTAGCATTCCACAGTGACTCCTTGTTTGTATAACCAAAGACTACACCACATCCAGTGAGATTTGCCACAAACCTTTCAGGTTTGGCACACCAAGAACAAGCCAATGACGTGTTATCCAAACACAACAAAATTTAAACACATACAGAAAGCAAAAAAAAAAAAAAAAAAAAAAAAAAAAACATAGATCCTACATGCCATGCCAGATGACACTGGCAAAGGACTGGTTATGACGGGAGGGAGTTCATTTTCAACTCTCTGTATCGGGTCACCAGCCTGGCTATGGGAAAAGATGAGCTCAAAATATCTGAGGACTGTAGCAGTGTTACCATCAGTCCTAACAGAAGATGACCGAGGCTCATACCATCCATGGTCACATCTCTGTCTCAACATCTCGCAGGGACCAAAACAAAACAGAACAAAACAAACCCTTCAAAGTAGTTCACAGCTCAGAGAGAGCTCTCAAACTCCTTTCCATGTCACCAGCCTTGTCATTTTGTAAAGAGTGACGACAAAGTCTTCCAAGCTTCACATGCAATGTAACCTTCAGAAAAGAGGGCTGGAGAAATGGATGGAGAAGAGAAACTGCTGACGGGATCAAATGATGGACATCACTGAGCAGGTTAAGGTCAGTGTCCCATCCACTCCTTATGGCTCTTCTCTCGAGCAAAGTCGAGCCTTTGGGAGGCTCTGCCATGCTCTACACACAGGGTTTTCTGAGAAAGGAAAGCAGATATGTCTACTGAAGAGTAACCAAAGTAAGGGCACAGTAAGAAACAGAGGGGTCCCTGGGGTCCCCAGCTCTCTCACCTCCACAGGAAACCTCCGGCCGTTGACACTGTGCTCTGAGCCAGCTGAGCCATTGCTGTGGCCCCAGTGAAACTCCACCTTCTCAGCTTTGAACCTGCCAGGCAGCCCAGCACCACTCACAAAATAATCGTCTTTCAGAAGGATGGCAACTGTCAAAAGGGAAGACAGAGAAGAAAAGGAAGTCAGTTTCAAACCCAAACTTAAGTTTCCTTTTTTGCTTTGATATTCTATTGCTTCATGATTACCTTAGTGTGAGTTACTTTCCCATATCTCTATAACACAATTCAAAACTACCACTTTGAGGAAATGGAGCTCCTGGATCACCAACGGGTTCTTGATGTATAGCACTACCTTTTGAGCATAACAGCCATCACCTTCTTCAGAAGACCTGTGGCTGTGCGTAGGAGAACCAGGGACTGGGTTTGCTGGCCCTGGGTGTTCCCTCACAAGGGGAGGACCACTGGATCTTCAATTGTGATCCCAGACCATCCCTTACAAGCCAGCTACAAATATCATTCTGCCCTAATGACACATGGCTGGTGCAGGAACATGGTGAGTAAAGATTAGATGAAGTGGGAACTACACCTATGCACAGCTATGGGGAAGTCGTGATCTATTCTTTTGGGGGTCACCCACACTCCAGCATGTAGCCCACCTCCCATGCTGTGTAAATAACCTAAAATGCATCAATCCCCCGGTGTGGACTCTGGTGGGTTTATATTCTGGTTTGTCATTGATGTTATTGAAGAAAGGTACAGGAATTTTTTACATCTCCCTAGGCAAAGAGTTAACCCCACAGTTCCACGTGGTGACTCATCCCAGGGAGAATACAGAATTTTCTAGCCATTTAACAGATAGAAGAAAATGGGTATGTTTCTAGAAAGCATGATCTTTCTGAAGCACTAACTCCTGAGGCTGCCCTAGGATTCAAGGTTTAAAAATCATATGAGAAACATACAATGCACCACATGTGGCAGGCATGTTTCTCTGACCAGAAAAACAGAATGAAACAAAATAAACAAACCCCAGGCAAGAGAGCCAGAAAAAGATTTGGAGGCTGGTCCTATAGTAATACTTGTTAAATGGGCAGACAGTCAGAATTGTGAACGGGGTCTTCATAGTTACTTAGCATCTCAACAGTGAAGTGCACAACCTGGCCATTACTATTTCACTCAAACATTGGCCCATAATTATATTTCCTGTACTCCTTTCCTCTAACTCCAAGCATAAGAAAAGAATGCTCAGCTGATGACAATACATGAAGGCATCCACTACAAAAAGGCCCCAACCAATGAAAACCCCAAATATTAAAATGCAGTCTCTTCCTTGAACTCCAGGAACAAGAACTCAAGAATCATTTGGATTCTATTTCAACAGTTTAGTTTTTTGAAGGGAAACGGGATTATTTAAAAGTATACAAAACAGTTTCAGTTTTATAACTGCTATATTTTCACTCTCTTCCCATCCCCCTAAAGTTAATTCGTTCATTTAACAAATTCTTATTGGGTGCTAAATACATGGAAGTTGCCAACCGATACACTGCCTGGCTTAGGACCAAAAGGCAAGCCTGTGTAAGCCATGGAGAGCAGTTAGGTTCTCATTGTCTCTTCTTCTGAAAGAGATCCCAGTCAGAGCCGCACAGAGGACTCCTGCATGAAAATTAGGTCCACATAAAAGATAGGGACTAGACTAATGACCCATTTCTGAAACGGGGCAATTAGTTTCAGTGCTTTGCTATGGAAAGGAAGCATTAAAAGCAAGAGAAGGAGCCCTGATCACATAAATCCCCCTATTATTGCTTTCAAAAGGCACTTGTTCACCAACTTTTGAGAAATACACAGTAAATGTTCAATTAGTGGGACAATGCATTAAAGAACAAAATGAAGTAAAAGCAAGCATTTCTTGTGCCAATTAAACAAGTGATGGCATTTTTCCAGAGTTGCTCTGTTTGGGGTATGCCTTAGAATAGAGGTCGGCACACTTTTCCCTTTAATGGCCATTAGTAAATATTTTAAGTTTTGCAGAGCACTGAGCCCCTGGTGGAAACTTTGGTAGAAGAGAAGACAGAGACCACATGGAAATGAGACTACCCTGTACAAAAACGTTACTTATAACATTGAAATTTGAACATAATGCAATTTTTATGCATCACAATGTATTACTCTCCTTGTGAGTGTGTGTGTGTTTTCCGGTGAGTGTATATGTATTTGGATATACATATACATGAGTACAGAAGCCAGAGGTTCAAGTTGGGTGTTGTTCTCAATAGCTCTTTTTATTTTATGAGGTAGATCCTTTCACTGGATATGGAGCTCAATGATTGGCTGCAGTGAGACCACAAGAATGCACCATCTCATGTGGCTTTTATGCAGGTACTGGGGGTTCAAAAAGCAGGTCCTCATATATGTGAGGAAAACACTTGACCAACTGACACATTTCTCTAGCCCCCTGTTGTTGTATTCACTTAAAAACATTACAAGGCGCCAGGGGTGGGTGGTGCATGCCATTAGTCCCAGCACTGGGGAGGCAGAGGCTGGCAGAGCTCTGTGAGTTCGAGGCCAGCATGATGTACAGAGCTCCAGTGTTCCAGGACAGGCTCCAAAGCAATGCAGAGAAACCCTCCCCCGCAAAAAAAAATTACAAGGGGCAGATGTCCTGTCACTAACTGAAAAAAAATATTACTAACGTTATTATGAAGTTGTGGCGGAGTCGCTGTATCTGAGGTAGACATTGGAATGAACAGCTGTTTTTTAGAAGTACTCTGCCCTTGAAGAATCATTGTGGTAAACAATAAAGAACCTTTGTGGAGAGCAGTGATTTGTAGAATTGTTTTTCTGAAGGGACATTACAGTTTGCTCAAGACACCCTTGGTACATCTTAGGGTCTTGGGTTATTGTGTACTGCAAATGACACACAATAAGAACCAAAGTCACGAGGGCATGTGATGCTTTCCTTTAGTGAGATGTACAGATCAGACCAAGGACCTCAGTATGAGGAACTACTTTACCCCCAAACAACTTTGGGTATCAATCCATAAATACGCCTGTGTATGGCCGTTCTGAGTTCAATCCATAAGAGAGGCTGAACCTTTCTGCTGCCATACAGGCCTTAAAATTTCATCTTGGAGTGACTTCTTTCTTCACCTGACATGCACTACACAGAACACCCTGGCAGAGTCAAGCACAGAGTTTTGTGGATATTAACAGGTGGGAAAAGCTATCATGAAATACATCCTGAAGTCCTCTACAACACGTCATGCATCTTTCATGCCAGTGCCCCAACACACAGCCACGTGTCTAGCAGTGCTATACAGAATGAACTACACTTTTCTGCAGAGGAAAACTGGAAGCAAAGATTTTGAGTGCATCTTTTAGGACACACCCAGGGACTCAGCATTGTCTCATGAATATTTGATTCTACCTAAATCATTTATGTCTCTGTCAGGGGTCATTCTACTTGTTTTACATGAATAATTAAAGGTATAATTAGGGAACTGTATAATCTGAAACATTAATCTGTTTTCATTTTATGGAATTTCTTAACAGACACACAGTATGCCCATGCATATATACCCCTCCAATAACAGCTTATGTTTTGTTTACATTTTACGAAATGGAAGAGAAAGCTTCCCAGTTTTCTTGTAACAAATTTTCTAACGGTTAATGATGGATGGCAGCATTATTTCAAAACAGAGATGACAAGGTAGTTTTACAAAAAGTGTTATGAGTTATGACCTCAAGTGAGGCACCAAATTCTCTGTGCCCCTGTTTCCTTCACTGTTCACAAGGGTATGGTAGCAGTGCCAACCCAGCAAGGCTGAAGGGTACCACTTTCCTAAAGCATCGCTTACAAGGACAGGAACCCTGCAAGCACATAGTCACTGTCGACTACTGTCAATCATTTCAGGAATCAAGACTGAAAAGCAATGTGAGGCACAGAGGGGAAGCTGTGGCCAGCCAAGTGCGACTCTAAATGTTCACAAAGAACTTGATTCAGGCTTCAGTGTGGCTCAGAGGTAGAGCACTTGTTATCATGCTCAATGCCATGGGTTCAATAACAAGCCGAATATACATGACAGAATTTAAATCTAAAGCTAAGAGTGCCTCAAATCAGTGCTGGGAGGTGAACTGAAGTATTGAACTGTCACTTTCAGGTCACTTCAACACAGACCAAAAAGACACTTTCTTTTACAAATTATTTCAATTCTTTCCTTTTCTTTGAAAAGAAAATCCCTATTACTTATTATTCATTTCACTCTTTGTTTCAAGAGGAAATATTAAACTAGAACTTAATAACATAGGAATCTTTGATTTCTTTCCATGGATTATAGATTTAATTTTAACAGATTCTGTTACAAACCTCCTCTGGGTTTTCCATTCATGATCTGGATACCAAGTTTTCTTTGAAAAAAAAAAAACAACAACAACAACAACAAAACAAAACACCCTCATTTAATCCAAATAAAATTATCATATTTAAGAAAGAGACTAAGTAAAGAATACTACAATGATAAATGAAAATAACACAACAAATAACAGCTAAATATTGATAGGGAAGACATGAGGGGTTTGCAAGCAAATAGTTCAACATTGGAAAACAATGGTTTACACATGGGAAGTCTGTGAGGACCTAAAACTGGGAACTGAAACCCCACTCCCATTATTCTTTATTAGATGGTGAAGCCTTTGGAAGGTGCTGAGATCATGATGCTAGAGTTTTACGCATGGGACCAGAACCCTCAGAAGTAAGCAGGGAGAAACCCTTGCCCTGTCCACCCACAGGAGACAAAGTTGAGAGAAGACCTTCCAGAAACCAGAAAAATGTCCTGGCGGAGAGTGGAATCACAAATGCCTGAACTGGGAACTTGTAGTCCCGATATCTGTGAGAAACATGTGGGTTACTCGCTGCACAGCGAGCTGCAACAGCAGCTCAATTGACAAAGACAATGGACCAATCCACGTGAGAGGATGTTGTGTCCACATGGATCAAACGTTACAAGGATTGTGAATAAGGGAAGATGGGGGATGGAATGGGGCTTCAAATTCAATGTTTTTGACCTGGAAGTTCAGGTCCAGAACAGAAGGCAGCAAAAGTCTTTCTTTGGGCTGTAGGGTCAATGTCTCCCTCGAGCCAATTGCATAGAGCCAATGTCTAAGGTATGGTCTGCAATGAACTGCTATGCATCTCAGTATCAGAGGCTTATTTGACCTGAAGCTCTGGCAGCCTTGGAGGGAGCTGTAACCTCCTCTGCATTATCATAAGTCATGCAGGCAGTCAGTGAGAAGTAAGTAGATAAGAATCTAGCTTTCTCTGTATACCAGTGAGCACTTAGTTCATAAGTCTACAGTTGTTACCATTACTACTAATGGTAAGTAGTCAGGTCAGGAAAATCAAGGAGCAGAATGGCATCTGATTCTTGTCATTAGTTGATGTGAACTATGTGTCGACAAGTGTTCACCACCATCAATATTTTTATTAACACAAAATGATTTTTAAGAAAATTTGTTTTGATTTTATTATGTGTAAGAGTGTTCGCCTGCATGCATGCATGTGCACTGTTTGTGGCTGGTGCCTGCAGAAGTCAGAAGAGGGTGATGGATCTCCTGCAATATAGATGGTTTGAGCTAGCAAGGGGTTCTGGGCAGCAAACCTCAGTCCTCTGCAAGAGCAGCTGCTGGTGCTTTTAACTATTGAGCTAGCTCTCAAGCCCCTCAGAACCATTTCTTGAAGATGACCACAATTAGTGCAATGGTAATTTCAGATATAGCAAGAAATAAAGGCAGAGAAAAAAAAAAAAAACACAGTAAATCAAAACACAATAGGAAAAGGGAAGAAACATGTTCTATGGCAAACGTTTACTATGTGTCTCAGGAGCAATCCTGTAAAGCAAGTGATTGAGAACAATACAAAGTCCTCCATAGTTAACAATCATAGGGGGACAATGCTGCAGAACTGTAAACCAGGCAGCCATGGCTCCTGCAGAAGAAACAGAGAGGCACTCTGTGTAATCAGGGTGTTTTAGACAACTTTTCAAAGTGGGTGAGGGGCAACCAAGTCACCCTGTGATTACATTGGATGATACATACATACATACATGACAGTCCCAGGAGTAATGACAGATCCAAAGACTAAGATGGTTTTACAGGAAGCCACTGTCTCCATGTAACAGGAAGCTTTAAATATTAGCTTTCTATATACATATTTCAGTATCAAGAGACATTCCATTTTACAGATAAGTGACCTCAAATCTCTAGGGATGGTGTTTGCTTCTTGGATTTACTTTCTAGAAATATGAGGTTTGTAAAAAATACTTCTACAGAAAAAAAAATGCTTAAATGCTTATAGGCTAGGAATAAATTCCATGGGAGAGCCTGTCTAGCAATGCACAAAGAGCTGGGTTCCATCCCTAGCACTGTGGGAAAAGAAATGGGGAAAAATTAGTTACTTAAGAGAGAAGACTTTTCATTAACTAGATATGATAGATGGATATGGCTACAGCAAGGATAGACCTCATGGCTTACACAGCCATGGATTTTTAAAAAATAAAATTTCTTTTTTGGTAACTATTGATTCATATCTAATTTTAAGAAACAGGTATATACAAAACCCCTCCTCCAGAATAATATTTCAAAACTCATAATATGTATGCAAAAAATCCCCCCTAATAACTTGAATGCTCCAGGTTATGTCTCAATATGATTTAATGGAAATTATTATCTCATGCTCCAAAGGACTTGGAACTGACATTTACTGAATTCATATGAACAATATGAATTGATATGATCCAAACATAACCCTCACTGGGTGGATATTTATCCCAAATACTAGTAAATCCATATACTTAATTTTAAAGTCAATAGAGTAAAAAGTATCTAGGGTTTATCATTTAAAAAAAAAAAAAGAAGTTGGTTTCAGTGCCCAAGTTTATTTAAAACTGTATGCTGGGACTTTTCAGAGCTCATGAAAATGACTGTATGTTCTTCTGTCAAATGGCATGCAGTGGTTGTCACTTAGAATACCCCACCCTACCCCCACACCCCCGCCATCATCTTCGTGAATTCACGGGCCACCATTTAGTCTCCTGTGAGTTCCACAGTGATACTGGGAATCTAACAACTACCAGGGATTAATGCCTGCTTCTCCCAGCACATCACTTCTGCACGGCAGACAGATGTAACCCCATGCTACTGGCCGTGCTCCAAAATCAGGAACACACACTCTGAGCAACAGGTAGCACATCACTAGGAAGCCAGCAGAGTGACAGAGATTGATAACCAGCTATGGAAAGGCCAAGGTCATGAATCAACTTACAGGGAATGAACCCTGCACATGTTTGAAGCCTTTCGCTGGTGATACCAAGCTGAAAGCTGTCACTGAAACGTGTTATCTCTGCAGAAGGCTGTCAGCATCGCAAGTCAAGGAGAAAACTGTAGTAGGGCACAAAGTGTGCGCCTCTGGCTGCCTTCTAGAATGAGGCACTCAAGTGGCACTGGCTTGAAGCTCTGGTTATGCCAAGCATAACTAAACTCTTGACCACTTTATTCAGGTGGCTTCACGGTTTTCCAAGGCACACCAACTGTTGGTTTATAAAACCTGACCATTGCTCGGGAGTGGACCATAACAGTAAACACATGATCTATGCGGATGGTGGGGAGAGAAGATGGAAAGGCAAGGCATTGGAAACAACAATGTTGGAGTGTGTGACATGGCTCAGCTGGTAAAAGTTTAGAGAGGAGAGATGCAACACCCAAAAGATGTGCATTGAGCTCTACTCTACACCCTTGCTGGGGCAGATAGCCCTCACCAACATCACACACACACACACACACACACACACACACACACACACACACACACACACTCACACACACACCAGTGCACAGATATCAATAAGTGAACATTGATACATCACTGATTTACCCTGAACGATTATAAAAATGGATATATCAAGGGTTGTCTGCTGTATGGCCCTGTTGTGGTTTGAAGGGGAAATGACCCCCATAGGCTCACGTGGTTGAATACTAGTTTGGTTGGTGGTATTGCCTGGGGAGATGGTGTAGCCTCACTGGAGGAAGCAGGTCACTGAGGGCAGGATGTGAGAATTCACAGCCTCCCCTAACTTCTACTTTGCTTTCTGTTTCATGCTTGCAGATGAGGACATGGCCTCTCAGATCCCTGCCCCATGCCTGTCTGATGCCATGATGGACTCCTTCTGGAACCAAAGACCAAATAACCTCTATACTTTATAAGCTGTCTTGTTTATAGTCTTGTCCAAGTAACAGAAAAGTAACTAATAAAGAGCAGAAGGTAATCTTACACAGGGTCTTATGGGAAAGAAACCAAGGCCAAGAATCACTGTAAGGGGTGTGCGGGAATCAGGTATGTGAACAAGTCAGGCCAGGTCAAAGCCAAAAGCAGTTTCAGATAGATGCTGGTTTACAAAAAGAAAATAGATCCCTAAAGCTTCTATGCAACCAAGGAAGTTTAAAGAAAACGCAAATCTGAGGTCCATTGACACACATTAGCCCAGGCAGATGTAATTTCATTTTAGCCTAGCACAGAGCCTCAGGCCATGAGAGTCCTGTAAGAGTGACTTGACTGGTTGCAAAGGATTCACTGAGATGGGGGAGTAAAAGGAGGAAAAAGGATATTTATTTTAATGGACTCAAGTTAGAAGCAATTAAATAAGATGATAAAAACCTCTTTAGATATGAACTCAATCCATAGCTACAGTAAGCAGTCATATAATATACACCCCAGTGTTTCCACTGAGATCAGAGGTGAGGGGGCACAGCATAGTATTCACTGTGACTTCTGTGAGTAATCCAGAAAGCCTTACAGGCACTGGAGTAATTAACCCAGAAACTTACAATGTTGAAAAGATGACCCTTCATTCACTAACCTCCAGATCACAAATGGCGTGCAGGAAGGAGGGAGAAGGTACAAACAGTAGGACTAACAGATAGAGGGCTGAGGCAATTCATCCACTCTGATACTTTAAAAATTCTTAACAAAGCACGCTGTCGAGGAAGGCAGGCCATATTTCCATTGGTTCACTTGGCACAGGGCATTCTCGTGGGATTTCCCCTATCTATGATGATCAGTATGGCAGTCACTGACTGTGTGGATGCTGAGCTTTGGAGATCTGTTCACTGCAATGGAGCTCAGTTTCATTTCATTGGATGTTTTTTTTTTTTTTTTTGGTTTTGTTTTCCCTGAGGCAGAATCTTACTATATTCCCCTGGATGTCCTGGTACTCACTCTGTCAACCTCAAACTGATCTCAGATTCGACTGCCCCTGCCTACTAAGTGCTGGGGTCAAAGGTGAATGTCACCATGTCCAGCTTTTACTTAATTTTTAATTAAAACTTAAATTTAAATGAGATACCCAGCAGTTAGAGCCTGAAACATTAGATGCTTAGACTCAGTGAGTATTTTCCTTAAGTCCATTCTTGGACCTAACACATTAATTCACTGCAACCCTACAAGACTGGTATTATTTTATGGTACTATTTTATATATTTGTAAAAAGTGAGGCACAGAATAGTTAGATATTGGCCAACAGTTGCACAATGGTTGCTTGAGAAACCAAAGATTGCTTTAGGTTCCCTACAGCAGTGGATGCTATCTAAGGAAGCATGTTAGAATAAAGTCATATACCAAAGGAAGCCCAAAATAGTTTTCTGTTGGTGGTAAATAAAAATAAAGAAATAAATAAAAGTCTACCTGTTTTCCCTGTGTTTTTCATCCAGGTTTTGTTGGAGGACTCATTGTCAAATCCATCAAGCTGAAGCTCCTGGTATTCTTCGCCAACACGTGCATGGTGGTCTAAAATGTCGATAGGAGACTGATGGCTGCCCCCACAGCTGACACTAGATGTGACCCAGTGCTCAGGACCATAGGCACCTGTAGAGAAAAGTAACACTTCAGTCCTCGTGGCCCAAGAGTTAGCGTTTAAACAAATGAGACACAAGGCTCTGGGGCTGAGGAGGAGCACTGTGGGCAAAGTGCTTGTGAGCAAGCATGAGGACCTGAGTTCAGATCCCCAACTTCCATATAAAACCAGGAGGCATGGTGGTCCATGTTCGCACCCTTACATTAGAAGACTCATTGGTGGGCTCATTGTCCAGTTAGTCTAGTTAAAGAGTGAGCTCAAGGTTAAACAAAAAAAATCTGTGTCAAAACATAAGATGGGAAATACAATAATGCTATAATGTGGACCTCTGCCCTATGTACAATACAAGCACATAAATACTGATATGGACTTCTCTCTGTCTCTCTGTCTCTGTCTCTCTCTGTCTCTCTCCTGGCTTTCTTGGACCACCAGCTCCCAAATCATGACATGGAGACTTACTAATTATGAATGTTTGGACTTAGCTTAGAAAGCTTAGAATTGTTTCTAGCTAGGTTTTGTATTGTTTTCTTAAATTAACCCACATCTTTTGATCTATGAGCTGCCTGAGGCTAGTTTGCCTCATCTACATACTGCCCATCCTGCTCTTCTGCCTCCTCTGTGTCTGTCTGTCTGGCCTCCAACTGACTGGCCCCTGGCAGGCTCCTCTTTTCTTTTTGCCCACCAGCCCCACCTATCCTTCCTGTGCCTAGGTATTGGTCATTCAGCTTTTTATCAGACCAATCAGTTGCCTTAGGCAGGCAAGATGAAATAGCAAGACATCTTTACATAGTTAAACAAATGCAACACATTTTTCATAGTTAAACAAATATTCTATTCTACAACATTCATGGACATGCACACATATACAAATACACAACACATACACTTGGAAATATACATACAAACATGCATACATGCTCGCTCACACACACCCCTTTTTTAGCTTTCAACTGCTTAAATATCACAGCAAAAAAGTTGGAGAAGAAAGTTAATTAGGTGTTTTTGTGCCTCTCCACACAACTGCCTGGTATGAAGGAACATGCAGGAACACAAAACAGAACACAAACAATGGCACCAGGAAAAAAGGGACAACCGCAGACAACTCTGGAAAAAAAAAAAAAAAAAAAAAAGACGTATCATAGCTTCAAGAGCAATTGGAACAGGTCCTTAAAATGATTCATAGTCTTACTCTCTGGAAAATACTTCACCATGGCTATAAGCCTGGGTTATTTCCCCAAATGCCCATCCCTAACAGTAAGAGAAAAAAAATGGACTATCAGAAAGAACTCATTCACACATTGGAAAAGGTGTAATAAGCCGGGGGCACTTTTGAGTCATTTGCAAGTGTTTAATACTTTCTAGAAAAAGTCAACACTGCCATTTTCTTTAGGGTGAAGAGTGCAGTGAAGCAGGGCAATGTCAAGGGCTTTTTACACAGAACACTGCACCTCTTGTTTGAGTTCCCCAAGGCTAACATGAGTCACGAAGAAAAGCAGTGTATTTATGCAAACATTTTAGTCAAACTTTATTTTCATCTTCAACATATCTGAGCAAGTCAGGGGGAGGGACATACAAATGATGCCAATTAGCCTCTTTCCACTGTCACAATTTCTTTCAGATGCCACAAAATAACACATTGAGACACTAAGTGTAGCAACTGCTAATACACCGGATGAAAACCAAAGTGTGAATTCTGGTTAGCTACAAAAGGTCAGCATGATCCAAGCATCAGACTTTGTATATGGGCATCTACAAATAAAATGCCTTCTAGAGACCTCTTATTGGAATAAAGTAATAACCACTGCCACATGAAAATATATACAGCTAAATATATACAACATCTAGGAAATAATGAAGGCAAGCCATCATTGTAAACATGAATATTAACTATTACCCTAATACACCACCACTATCACCACTAATACCAATTATTATGATGATGATGACGATGAAAAATACCAAGGTCAGCAGAGTGTTTGCCATCCATATTAGATGGGTGAAATACAATTTAGGAGATTATAAAAAAATAATTAGTGCTCACACTGGTGGGACTCCTTCATTACAATCTAAGGGTTCAGGCTGACTGCATGCTTGTTTCCACACTTCCACCCAATATACATTCAAGTGCAATTTTAATTGAAACTGATCTTCCACTTCAGATTTCAAATTAATTCTTCTTTGGAGTACTTCATGCTTCAGACACCTTTGCTTTGCAACCCACCCCACCCCCATGGCATTACGGGAGGAAATAGAACACTTTTTCCAAGCTTGCATGTTATCGATTACCTATTTCCACTCTGAAGCACTGTTGCCATTCCATACTGTATATCTCTCTCTGCTGCTAAGACACTTTATACCAGTTATATCATTAATCAACCCCAGTAGCACAGTCTCACCATGTTGAGTGTTTCTGGTTTTTTAGAAATTTGAATAAATGCTTCAAAGTTAAAAATAATGACATTTAATATAGACCAGTTTCCTCACACCCAACGTTCTGAGAAAAACAGAACAAACTATCAGAAAATGGCTTCCTCTCAAGGTGTGACACTACCTAGCTAAAATAAGGGAAACTCCTTTTCAGGCTGTTTCTCTCTTAAAGACTCTTAGAATGGGCAGGATATTTGCATTTCAGTAACTTAATCCATTGCAAACAGTTTACTCCTCTGGACAGTACAACTTCCTAACAGCTCATATTCTCCAATGGAGAAAGCTGGGCTAGGGTAACAGGCCACCGGCTGGCTCTTCCCAACAACTTAACTTGCTTGTTAAAACTCTAACAAAAATTAGACCAGAGTGGAGACACCTGCCAACCTTTAAGTGCCAAGAGAATCTAGCAGTGTTCCTCATGTAGCCTAGGATGAAAATATGAAATCACTGGCTCAAAGAATGATCTTCATAAAAATGGCCTTTGTGTCACATCATTATTGCCGACTTACTATTTACACCTATGTGTCTTTCCAACTCACGATCTTATCTATAAGACAAGGTTCTTCTATGGTTCAACTTATACCAATGAGTAGTATCAGATCACATAGGCAGGGTACCTCCAAATAATGGGCCCTACCAGATGGCAAAGTCCTATAGGAAAAGAGTCATAGGCAGGGCATATGGCCACTGTCATGTCCCATACTAACCAAGGCTACTGTTCTTCCAGATGACCCACATCTAAAAATATCCCTGAGACTATGCAGGCCCCTGCTTCAACTAAAAGTATAAGAAGACACAGTATCTCTTAGGCAGGTTATGTCAGGCAACCTTCGACTCATTTTCTTGTGGCATAGCATCTCCCCACTTTCTGTTTCCTTCACTGAGCACCTTGACAAAAGAGGGATCTGCACTCCTTAGTTGCACAGCTCTGACTCCTACTGTGTGGCCCACATTATTAAAGATTCTATGCCCACTTGACAAAAGCTAGAATAACATGGGAAAAGAGATTCTGAATCGAGAAAAGGCCGTCATAAATAAGATTTGCTTGTAGGTGAGTCTATAGAGCATTTTCTTGATTAATGATAGATGGGCAAAGGGCCAGCCTCTTGTGTGGGTGGAGGGGTGGGCGGTTACTATCTGTGGGCAGATGGTCCAGGGGTTTATAAGAGAGACTAAACAAGTCACGAGGGGCAAGCTAGTGAGTAGCATCCCTCTCTCCATAGCCTCCAGATTCCTACCTCAAGTTCCTGCCCTGTCTTCCTAGATGGAAGACTAAACTGAAATAAACCTTTCCATGTTTCTGATGGATGTGATGTTTTACCATAGCAATAGAAAAACAATGCCCTCCACCTAGAAGGGTAATCCTTTGTGTCTCTCTTGTATGTCCTCTCCTTCACCTCCCCATCATTACCACCTGGCATGAGCTCCTCAATACAGGAAGTTCTGAAGCATACTTTTAAATGAAAGTACATAAATTGGAAAAAGAGACAAAAGAATGATAAAGTGTCTTCTAATGACACTCTCCACGCACTTGGCCATGATTTCACTTTAATTTCACACATCTATCTGCAAACTATTTAATAAATCGTCCTTACTTCCTGGGTCTCCAGGGTCAGGATGCCAATTTCACAGGTAAATACTCCTTAGCTTCATTAATACATTGAATTAGTCTGAACTGTGACAAGGTAAGATGTGCTGTGAGCAGATGATAAGCTAACTGAACAAGCCAAGCATGATGACTGTGGTTTTTAAAGTAAGGGTGTAACTGTGCTTTTGATGCCCATTAGGAAGCAAGGTCAGTTACTGCTCAACTGCTCACTGTTTTGTATATTTTAACAGACTTCTCTACTGAAAGACAATCAAGGAGGAGCAAGCTGATCTCCAGTGTTCTATTTAAACATGAACTTAACACTTGCTCAGTGCTGGACACAATAGCGAGAAACCCCAGTTTCCTTGGGGTTCAACATAAGCTGCTGTGGCTTAGCTACCTCATCTATGTGATAAGCTGCTCGTATCAAAGGGCAGTTAGGATAACTCTATGAGATACCCCATGCCAAGTTCTAGAGCAGTAACAGACTATGAAAGCCTGCTTGGGGTGGGGAGGATCCTACAACTATTGGTTTTGCTGTTGGTCTGCAAAACAGGGGGGAAAAAACTCTCAAGAAATAGCTGTAGAACAAGGGAAATAATCACAGAAACCAGCCAAAGAAAGCAGTCAGCATGGAGCGACTGAGGAGATCTTCACCTCCTAGGACTTGCAGATAAGGTGACAATTGAGTGACATCACTTCTTCAAGCACACATTGACTAGGCCAAGTCATCTGCTACAGGCTCTCACTTGACAGGGACTTTTGGGTTTGTCCTTTCTTTTAAGTACATTTGGTTTCTATGTGAAATGGAGCTTAAGTCTAGCTGCATCTGGTTGGGTCACATGCTTGAAGATAAAAATAAGGTTGGAAATGTGGCTCAGCTGGTACAGTGCTTAACATGCACCAAATAATGGGCTGGCTCTGCATCACTGCATGAAAGTGAGTGCTTGGGGCATGTCAGTAAAATAAGCACAGAGGCGATGGAGAGGTTTAAAG